GTTAATACTAAATCAAAAACAAAATCAATTTCTTAGGTTAAACAAAGGAATTCAATATAAAACAGGAGAGGATGTAAACAAAAGGAATTTTATATACCGTGGACCACGGTGATAAAAAGGGTACACTAGAAGTATTGTTAGCTTGCACCTCCAATCTTTTAAAGAGAATAAAAACAACCTAAACCTTCAAACTAAACTAACCATTACTTGATTACAAAAATGACAAATTATCTCCCTCCAATCAAGTAAATGCCAGTGCTTAAAATGCAAAAATCTTGGCTGCTAACATCAGCCATCATTCTTTATCACAAAATTATCCTCTCTTTTTTTTTCTTCTTTTTTGCGTTTCATTATGAGCTCTGTTTGTTCTATAAATTACTTTGATCTTTTCCATTACATTCTCACTTGCATTTCCGAAAGGGGAAAAAAAAAATCAACATAACTACTTAAATAAATAACACATCAATTACCTTGACAAAATAGAATACCAGTCGAACACATTGCAAAAGAAAAGGAATCCCATAGGAACATTGCAAGATAAGACTAAAAGGAGTTATTGAATTTAATTCCATCAGAAAATAGGCAGTGCCACAACACACCTGTTTGACAAAGATGATTCTGCTGGCATGATATTCACTTCCTCAGAACCATTTTGAATGGTAAAGCCTCCCGGAAAGAAGTCTGCTTCAGAAAGATTACCGAAATGACTATTTGGTGAGTTCATGCTCATGCTGAACAGGTTTACTTCTGAATTGCCACTAGTGGGCTTTGCATCACTAATGGTTTGTTTGGATGATCTACCAGAAGGATCTGTAGCACCATTTGAGCTTGTAAAATCATTCCAGGCATCAGATGAGTCCTCATTTTCCTCAAAGGTATTGTGATCAGCTGCCTTCATGTTGCCAAGTTGCCATTGATTGTCTTTGGACCAGTCAATTTTTGTGGAGAAAGAATCACTTGCTTTGTTTATCGTTCCTCCATCTTTAACATCAAATTGCTCAGCCTCAAAAATCAATCCAGAGGGGGTCTGGTTATTGGTAGTCTGGAAATCACTCTCCAACCAGTTATTACTTATAGATGCTGAGGCTGAACCATCTTTTGCTTTCCTATCAACTAATACTTTTCCTGATCCAAAGACAGAATCCATTTGTGCAGAAAGATCATCAAATGATTTGGATTTCTCATTATGAGAATTAGAATTAGTGGATTGAAAGTTGGAATCCCAACCAGAAAAAGAGTCACTATTCTTTTCTTCAGTAGACCTTGTATACTTAGTTTCTTTAGAGGAATTTCTTGAAGCATCTGCTAGAGTACTGGAGCCTTTAAAACTATTCCAATCAACAAATGAATCATAATCTTGACTGATAGTTTTATTACCAGCTGCCAGGCTGCTGCTTGTTGGCCATTGATCATCTTGAATCCTATCAACCTTCATCAAAGAGGAATTATTCGGATACTCCACAGTCCCAGCATCAGCATTTATGATAACATCAAATTTCTCAACAAGATCATCCTGAAACCAGTTATTAGAATTTAACCCAGAAGAAGTCATGTTATCATTGTTTTTGCCATCAAAGAGATCTTTTCCCAATCCAAAGACACTATCTATGTGTGCAGATAGATCAACCGAAGGACCAACAAAAGAGTCAAACAAGTTGGAATCCTTAGGCTGGGATTTAGAAACAGTAGATTGAAAGCCAGACTCCCAACTGGGAATAGAGCCACCACTCTTGTCTTTCATTTCCATAGACTTCATGTCATTAGTAGTTTTCTCCCAAGAAGCATTAGAAGCATCTTCTGCCCCAGTTGGGCTTTTAAAATCATCCCAGGCATCAGATGAGTCATCATCTGCATCCATGGTTTTACAATCATCTGTAATGTTGTTGCTGGTTTGCTGCTGACCATCTTGAATCCAACCAACATTCATGGAAGAAGAATCAATTGCGTCTTCTATTTTTCTACCATCCTTCATATCTACAGTCACATCAAGTTGCTCAGCCTGGCAAGAACTGTCATTACTCTTTATACCACCTTGAAAATAATTATTTGTGTTGGAACTGTCAATTTCTTTATCTTTTTGGTCGAATAATTCTCTACCAGGTATGAAACCTGAGTTCAGGTTGGCAGAATGATCTTTTGAAGAATCTGCAAAAGGATCAAGAGACTTGGAACTCTCATGATGAGTTCTAGAATCAGCAGACTGAAAGTCAGCTTCCCAACCAGAAAACGAATCACCAGTCTTGTCCTTGCTAGTGGTAGAACTAAGAGCTGTCTCAGAAGGCTGAACATTCTCAAACAAACTTAGATTTCTGAAATCTTGAAACGCATCACTTCCAGTAGCATTAATATCTGGCTTTCGTGCTGATTGCCCTTCGGGTGTTGCCAAAAGTGTATTACCTTTTCCTTCAAGAACAAAGCTATCAACATTTCGTCCAGCCAAATTGAAGGAACTTTTTCTTGGAAAGAAATAATCTTTATCTGAAATACTAGTTTCAAGTTTCTCTGGCTCAGCTTGCACTCTTATTTCTAAATTTAATAACTCAGACAATGGAATAGCATCTTGAGGAGCATTTTGCCCTCTGCTCGATTCTTTTGCTTCTATTTTAGGTCGCACAACCTCCTGCAGATTAGCATATCAAAATTTAAAATTACAATCTCCCCAAAATTTTCATATCCAACTAAACATTAGAAACAAAATTAAAACTTCAAAATTTATTATGAACACAATGTGAAGATAGAAGTATAGAACCAAGCAATCCCTAGAAACACAATTTCCACCCTACATAAAATTTTACCTTCAGATGTCATCCATTCCAATTGATTCAAGAAAGTCCTGACTTTTGATGTAAACATACTAAATTATTAGCATAGAACAAGAACGGGATTGCCAGAAGATTATCCAAATAAGAGCTAAATGAAAGCCTAACCCCAAATTATATTGAGCTGCATCTACCTGATTGACAATTAAATTATTCAAACAAAAAGAAAAATTGCAACTTTCCCAGGAACCAAACAGAGAAAAAAAATCGAAAATCAAACCCGCCCAAAAAAAAAAAATCAACTATTTTGTAGGTAAAAGAGTTACTTACCGATCCATCTAACTCAAGGGAGTGGAGGAACAAACGGTAACCCAGAGAGGACGTGAAATTGATGGGTGAATCCTCCTCGCTGCGCTGTTGTTTGCCGCAAAAGACGCAAATAAGCGATTGTGCGCCTCTGAGGAGAGTCCGTTTGCAGCGGTTGCAGCGGAGATCTGGTGAGGAAGGATCTGGCTCCGCGATTGAGTCACTGAGTTGATGAAGTGGAGGAAGCGAGGCGTCATCTGGGTCGAAGGAAGGAAGTTGGGATTCCTTGCGGAGTGAGATCTGTAGTTGATTAATTAGGGACCATGGGATTTCCGGCGCCATTGTTGAGCTTGAGGTGACACTATTTTCTCCTCTGATGTCCGACGATGTAGCGAAGGGGAGTAACAGATGGAGTTGTACTACATTGTTCTTTTTTACTTTACCATTTCTTACCCTTTTTTTTTTTCTTAAGCATGTTTAGTTCAGCCCGGTGAAACAGAAAGAAATAATGCACGTATGCTGCATTAATTTTTATATATTTTGAAATTAATGTATCTCTAATAATTTTAATATCACACATATATACTAATCTTGAGTAGTTAATGAAATTAATTTTTTTAAATGTTATATTTATAGAATGGGTTGTGTTATAGAGATAATTTTTTTATTTTATTTTTTTTATACAATTCACATCTTATTAAATTAGTGGATACATTTAATATCATGAATTTCACATAAATTAAAAAAATCAATTATTTAAATAACACGTCAAGTTGTATAAAAAGATGAGACAAAATTGTTATACAAAAATCATTTCTTTTATAGAATAATGATAAAAATGATGAAAATTTGATATCAAACTATATCATTAAATTAATTGATATATATAATATTATAAATTTTAAAAAACAAAAAAAATATCATTAAATAATATAAAACCTATCTTTTAATATTTTAAATAGTATGATTTATACCTAATTATTAGTTTTAAATTTTAATTTTAAATTTTTATCTTATTTATCATTATTCATGGTTATAATTTAACATTATTTTTAAGTGGAGAGAATGGAAACGGAGAAAAAGTGGAAAGTAAGGAAATTATATCTTTTTATTTCTTTTATTCCTTTCTCTTCTGTTTCCTATATTTAAATAAATAATTAAATTAAAAAAAATTTTGTCCTCCTTTCCCCTTTAATTATTTTAATAACCAAATATAAAAAAAAAAAAATTTCTCTCCCTTTCATCCCCATCAAACCAAACATATTATAAATTTTTAATTTTATCTTCATTTAAGGTAGTTTTAATTTAACATTTTAAACTTTTTTATTTTTTAAATATAAATTTTAATTAAAAAATTAATATATTATATACTTATAAATAATAATTAAAAATTCTTTTATCAAATATAACTATATAAAAAAAATTTAATTCATATAAAGTATTAAATTTTTATTTAAAATTCATATTTAATAAATTAAATATCAAATAAAAACTATTAAAGTTAAATAAAAAAATATTTATTTTATAATTCAAATTATACAATATTTTAATAATTAGAAAAAAAAAATTTTTGGGTTTGATGTTGGGTGGGTTGCACAATGGAGTGAACTAGTCAGTCTCATCCCCGCAGCCATTTGAACCCCAGAAATTGCTAGTATATAGTAATCACAAGAAATACTTGTCTTTTTCCATTTTTATGAAATACAAATCAAGTATGAAGATGGCAAGTTGAAAGCTTAAAACCTTTCAACAGCACCAAACAAATCCCTGACAGACAAAGTTAAAGCCGGCTCCCAGAATAAGAACATTAAGTTCAAAATTTTCATTTTCCAAGAAGTGCAGAAACACCTACAAAACAAAGCTATGAGGCCGGATAATCATCATTTCCATTTCACCCGAATTTGAAGCCACCTGGGGGGAGGTTTGGCTGGTTAACTCCAAAAGAAAAAGCACCCTGCTGCTGGAGTTCATCTGTTTTTGGATAAGACTGAGAGACTTCATTCTGTTCTTCCTCTTCTTCAGCCCAGTATCTCTCCAGGATCTTCACAGCCTTCTCGTAGATTTCGTTGTTGTCGTGGGTCTGCAGATTCTCAATCTTGTCTAACCCTTCGCACTCATCGATCATCTGTGCATAAAGATTGATTCCATTATGCAGTCCCATTTCCTTGTCAGCTTCTCCAACCTTCAAAATGTTCTCAAGTCCCTCGAGGCACACTGTCACAATCCGTGGGTCTGGACAGATTAGCAGATCACAGAGTGGCTTAATGCAGCCTTGGCTAACCAAAAATCTGCAAGAACAGAGATGCATGTGTGTGTTGAAATAAAGTTGTTACATATAGTGTTGTAATGTTGCCCCCAATCAATACCAGACCAACTCATCAGGTGCATCTATATTAGCAAACATGATGCTTATCTAGTGCACTTGCATCGTAATCAACCAAGGAAAAAAATCATTTAAAAACGAAATGCAATGAGGTAAAGGACATACTGAATCTGCTCATGAGATCCTCCAGAGGTAGCATTCGAGATGGCCCATGCAGCCTCCTTTTTTATGTCAAACTCTGCATGTTCTAGAAGGTGAACAAGAGGATGGATGATGCCCGCCTCAACAACAGCCTGCCACAAGAAGCAAAAAATTACCAAGTGCTTCAAACTTATGTAGCATTGCCATTGGCTCTAAGTGTAATTGAATTCACATTGCAAATAAAGTGTTGATGCTTCCATTGACCATTGTCTGTTAATTAATTGGAATTTCAAGCAATAAAATTTTGGCACTTAGACATCTTCGAGCATCACACCATTCCATCCCTCTTCAATACTTGCAGTTCACACACCATACAATATACATGCTTATCGTTGCGACAAATAATAGGAGTAGTGACCTTCTTTGTTCAAAGTGTTCAATGATCTCAGAAATGCAAATCAAAATGAGAAAATTTGTAGAATTACAACTTGTGGTGACACATGTATGCAGATTACAGAATTTTCAATCTTCACAAAAATGGTAATGTACTGAGATAGTATAATACCTGTATTTGAACCTTATTCCCAGCTGTGATATTTGAGATCGTCCAACAAGCTTCTTTCTTGATGCTTTTTTTGTGATTTTGTATGAGAAGTTGATGGAGATAAGGGAGCACGTTGTTTTCAATTACAAACTGCAAAATACATCCCACACTAGTTACAGCAAAGAAAAGGAAGAAAGGAAACCATTTCAAAGTATTTGATAAATAGCCTATACTACCATATACAATCCTGCTTTGCTAAATGCATTTTAAAAGTGTAGTAACCATATTTGAAATATAACCAATTCAAACACAAACAAGAATTAAGCCAACCAAAATGGGGAAAAGTGCAGCTAGTACGTGAAAGAAGAAGATAAATTCTGTAACACACAGAGAAATAGATATTAAAGATCTACTACGCATCAATAAATGCAGTTAGTACCTGAGTCTGGGCATCATCACCAGTAACAATGTTTCCTACTGTCCGAAGAGCAGGAATAAGAACCGTTGGAGATGGATGACTAGCATAAATGAATTTTAGTCAGTACCAGAAATTGAACAAATTACAACAATCATGAAACTAAACGAGTGTACAGACACAAAGACATACTGACAGAAACAAAAGCACGCAATGTAGCCAGAATAAGAAGCTAACTGTTCTATGCTAAGATGAATGCAGGTAAGAAATGTGAATATGAATGAAAAAGTCAGTTCAATCATAGCAAAAATTTTTCGCTAGACAAACAAGAGGCTTACCCTAGAAGCTCCACAAGTCGTGGACAGACCCCTGCTTCAATTACAGCCTGAATTTTGTCATTTGGGCCATCTGAAAGATAAGATAGTGCCCAGCAAGCATCTGTCAGAACTTCTTCATCATTCAAATGGATAAGTTCTCGAAGAATTGGCAATGCAGGCTTCACCTAGAAGAACCCAAGAATCATTATTGCACCTCAGTAAGTTCATTCAAAAACTTGAAAAGTACAAAATTATGAAAACAATCAACAGGATCTCTTATATAAAGTCCATATCCATAAAAGTTAACTAACAAACACCAAAGAAGTCTCTCATAATACCTGTTCAAATTGTGTTGGTGGCTTGCCACGGCAGAAATTAGATAAAGTCCATGTAGCATTCCTCAGCATTGATAATTTTGAGCCTTCATTTAACTGAGCCAACAATGGCATGAGAGCTCCACAACCAAGAACTAGATCCCTACAAGTTGGTGAATCACCAGCAACATTACCTAAAGCCCATACCGCCTAAACAAAATCAAGAGTAAAGAACACACATCTATTAGGAGCTGGCTACATTGAAAACCAGAAAAATTGTATAGAATGTATACAAAGGGTTTTAAATTTTGATTAACACTTAACAGAAAGTTGCAGATGCAGATAAATGAGCAATCAAAATTAAACAATCTACAGGGGGAAAAAAGTCCCAAGTGAAGGAAAAGTAGAGAAACTAAGAACATAATATATGTTAATGCACATACTGCTACGCCAAGAAATGTACATCCAACATTATAAAAATATTTTGGAAGTAACATTCAGATGACTTGAGTTGCGAGTAGTTTATCAATGTATGCATAAATGAAACATAAATAATCAGGATAACATGGAAAAAAGAAGCCTTTCTCACTTGTCAGGATCACATAAGACTAAGGGGAAAAGAATTACTGAAATGACAACTAACCTGCTCTCTCACATCATCACTATTAGAGCTAAGGAGCTGGACAAACTTTGGAACAGCACCATGGTCAATAACAACTCTTGTATGCTCTGATGTGCCAGATGCAACATTGGTCAAGGCCCACGCAGCCTCAAACTGAAAACAAAGGAAAAGCCAATTATGTTATTGATATGGCTTCTAAAACAAAATATTTTTATTGAACAAAAACAGGAAAAGCAAGACATAGTCCCCACCTGCAGTTGGGGAAGATCATGCCTTCCAAGAAACTCCACAAAGCGAGGAACAACTCCAGCTTTGATGACTTCATCAATTGGAGGACCACGCTCTATAGATGATAGAACAAGTTTAAGTTAGCATATTCTTTAACAAATTTCTTCAGAAAGAGGAGAAAATGTTCTTACCAATTGATAGTAGCTTCCTAAACTGAGTGGTTGCTTCTAACTGTAAGGCAGGATCCTCAGACCAAACCCCTTGTACCATCAAAGGAATACTTTCCAACTGTTAGACAACACCAATCAATGAAACATGAAACTTGCAGTGGACAAAACAAACATCAACAAGATGGGAAAGAAAGAGCAATGCTCACAACTGAAAAACCACCAGCATGGCTTTCTAATACCCTTAAACATTTATCTATATTCAAGAAGATTCCAAACCAGAAGCTCATACAAACAAAAGCAAACTATCTAGAAGAAAAGATAGCAAATTCATTTTCTCCTTTTTCCCCTACTACAGGACTAACTAAAATAAAAAAAAAAAAAATCATAGTTCCATGGTCTTTTGGTTTTTCTCAAGTTGAATGTGATGAAAGAACTTAAGATCTAAGATCCTATGCCTTTTCTCCTACCTGTATTAATTCATTTCATTAGCAATCAAACTAAAAAGTGGAGAAATTACAAACCCAGCAGAAAATTGCTGACAATTAAGAAACTTTTTCCGTGCTTCTAGGTAGAATTAGTTGGTTTTAAAATTTCAGCTAGCAACACACAATCTCATTAAGTACCCAAATCTATATCCACAGAAAATTTACTAAAAAATTAAGACTCCAAATAATAACCCCATATTTCCAAATCTCACAATATTAAATTCAGATACTAAACCAAACCAAATCCATCACTAGATAACACACCCAATACTCAAAAGTACTCCGAATCTTAAAACAATAGGCTAAAAATCTTCCTATCTCTCTCCAATTCTACTTCCACTGTTATATTCTAAATGATAACTAATTTATGCAGTTATAGTATGCTTCACTGAGGTCAAGATCCTGAATCAATATCCCCACCACTTCAAATACCAACATTTACCCATCAAACAAACATCAGAACAAACCAAACCCATTAATTAAAACCCAGAAAAAATACAAGAAAACCAAAAAAAGGTACCCTCTTTTCAATAGCAGCATCATTTGAAGACGCATCGAGCAATTGCTGCTGCGACTGAAGCAGGAGCCCTTCTCTCCTCTTCTTGAGAAGATTGTCCTCACGCTTGTTCTTCCTGATCTCCACCAAATTGTCCTCCCTCCTCCTCCTTGCCTCATCTGCATCGACACCCGTCTTGTAACCTTTCCTCCGCACCTCCGTACGGGTACTAGGTCGGAGCGACATTGTGGGTTCCGAGAATTCCGGCTAGGTTTCTCTGTAAATCTGTGTAGATATGAAAGGAACAGACACAGACAGAGATCGAACCGTGGGGACTGGGAAGGATTACAGAGATAGATGAATCTGCTTTTGGAAGGAAATAAAGAAATCTAAAAAGTGAAAATTGGTTCTGTAGGGCGGACTTGGGCTTTACTTATCTTTTTGCCTTTTTTTTTTTTAAAATAAAAATCTTTTGGGTTCTAATTCAAAGTGTAGATTTTAAGTTTTAGGCATAATGTTTATTGAAATACACTTAAAGCCCTTACTTTTACCCTTTTTTGGCTTTTCTTTTCCTAATTGAGGCTATGTTTAGTTAGATTGCCATTTTATTAAGAAAGTTTTTATTAATACAATAATATATGGAAAGTTAAAAAATATTTTATAGAAAATTGTTAAGTTTATAATGAAATTTTGTTAGGTTATTAATTTTATTGTATTTAATAAGAAATTAATAGAAGAAAAATTAGTAGGAAAAGTTGTTAAATGGATCTAATATAGAAATAGTTATAAAGGGATTTTTTGCTTTCAAAATAAGTGAAAAGAAAATTTTATGAGTTGAAACTTATGTTAGAAAAAATAAATGTTAAAAATATTACTTTTACTCTCTTTTTGTTGTAATATTAATGTGTAAAAATATATAAATAATTTTGTAAAATGAAAGTTTAGAGAATTTAAAAGACAAATGTTGCCCCCAACCAAACACTATTGAGAGTTAAAACTTATAAATTGAAAATAATAATTTTTTTTCTTCTTTTTATGCTGACTCTTCGTTGATTATTGCATTACATAATGTTCTCTTTAGAGCAAATATCGAAAAAAAAAAAAAGTTCTCTTTAGAGCAAAATAATAATTATTAGAAAAAAAAACACTTTAATAATAACGGGTAAAATTTTGAAATTGAGGACATTTTGAGTTATTTGAAATTATGGGGGAGAACAAAAGCAATCAATTTCAATACTCTTTTAGAAATTTGAAATAGACTTTTTTTTTTTTTTTGGATAAAATGTAAAAATTTTATTTATTCAATAAATTGATCTACACACTCAACAACAATTACTGCTATAATCAATTACAAATGCAATTAGAGAAAACTTTTTAACAACTAGAGCTAAACTTGCACCTATAAAATTTCTTCTAGTCTTTACTGTACTGCTACAAATGTGGGTAATGAAAAGGACCTTAGCTTAACAAAGCCCAAAACCTTGTTCCTAACATCAAAAATGAAGGTTATTAACAATCTATAAGACAGATTGAAAGTGGTGCCTATGGATTCTACTATTTCTCTGTTTCTAGACATAATACATTGTGGCATTCCAAGCAAGTTTAATGAGGACAAAGTACAAGAACTTTCTCCTTATTCGCTTCCCCATCCAAGCCAATAGACTTTGCCAAGAATTGAAAAAAAGGATGCCTACCATATCACAAATAGCTTGCCATATTTGTTTAGTGAACTAGCATTGAACAAACAAATGATCACTTGTTTCTACTCTTGCTTTGCACAACAAGCAAATATCATCAATACTAGGAGTCCATCTCCTTTGATTCTTCTTGTTGATAACTTGTTTAGGAGTGCTAGCCAACAAATGAAACTATACTTACGGATTGCATGAGAATATTATACTAATCTATGCCCTGGTATCTTTGCCTACTTTTCACATAAGGAATGCCATGCACTACTTGTTTTAAACCCCTAGAGGTAGAGGTTATCCAAACAACTGAATCTTTTCCCCATGCTTTGGGTATAGAGTGTCAAAAAGGCCTATCTAGATTTACACAAGTTACGGAGAGCGAGCAAGGGCCAGTTCCAAAAATTACCATTCACCACTTTAGAAACTTTGGCAAACAAACTTAGACCAAAATCAATTACAATCTTAGCCTCATATGTTGTGGTTAATGGCCCTATAGGATGCCAATGGTCATGCCAAAGAAAAATATCAATTCCTCCACCAAGTACATACTGCATTAAACCTTTGGCATAGCTTCTAAGCTTTAGTAGTTTCCCTCGTCCCAAAGATGAACCAGAAGGGATGTTTATATACTAAAAGCTCTTCCCTTTCAATAAATTAAAACTAAACCACAAATTGACATCAAAAGGTGTAGATCAGCTCTTGAACTTTAAGTGTTGGGGCATCCCCAAAATTATTTTTTGT